AATTGTATGCTGATCTCTGCAAAATTCACATGTTTTTTTTTTTTTTTTTTTTTGAGACAGAGTCTCAAGCTGTTGCCTTGAGTAGGGTGCCATCATGTCATAGCTCACAGCAACTTCAAATTCCTGGGCATAAGTCTCATGTCTCTTTGTCAAACCCTCCAACACTTCCCATCTCAGTGTAAAATCAATCTGATGGGCTAAAACATCTCCTGTAACATCTTTTTTTTGGCTAGGGCTGGGTTTGAACCTGCCACCTCCGGCATATGGGGCCGGTGCCCTATTCCTTTGAGCCATAGGTGCTGCCCTCCTGTGACATCTTTGACTTCCCCCAGTAAACTCCTGTCCAGCTAACCTGGTCTTTTATTCACTGAACCAGACAGACACACTTGTGCCTCAGGGCCTTTGCCCTTGCTCTTCTTTCTTCCCAAAACACTCTTCACCTAGAAGTCTGCATGACTCAGTCCCTCTCCTTCAGGTTTTTGATCAACTATCACCTTGGTAATGTCTTCCTACTTTGCCCTCTTTAAGTGATAACCCCTGCCCTCCCTCCTATTCACTCTATCCTGTTTTTGTTTTTCTTTTGAGACAGAGTCTCACTATGTCGCCCTCAGTAGAGTGCTATGGCGTCATAGCTCACAGCAACCTCCAACTCTTGGGCTTAAGTGATTCTCTTGCCTCAGCCTCCCAAAGCTGGGATTATAGGTGCCTGCCACAAGGCCTGGCTATTTTTTGTTGTTGTTGTAGTTTCATTGTTGTTTAGCAGGCCTAGACTGGGTTAGAACCCGCTAGCCCCAGTGTATGTGGCTGGCTCCCCAGCCACTGAGCTATGGGTGCCCAGCCTCTATCCTGTTCTATTTGTTTTCATGGCACTTATTACTATCTGATTTCCCATCTATTTTAGTTATTATCTGACTCTTCTCTACTGGAATGTAAACCCCAGGAGGTCAGGAATTTGTGTTTTATACTTTTTTTCCCCACTTCTATATATTTCTATTACCTCAGTGCTGTCTGACATATAGTAGGTACTCATTAAATCTGTACTGGATAACTGTATTTCTGTATGTTTATGTGTTTTGGTGGAAACTAGCCCAAGCTTTGGGCCATGTGGAGGATGAGGCACTAGGCAGGACTAGGGAAGAGGTCAGGCCTTTTAGTCTGGAGCAGATGATGACTGAAGTGGTGTAAAGAGCTGAGCACCCCTGGGAGAGCAGGCCAGGGCTAGTCCAGAGGAAAAGGACAGGCCAGACAGAGGGCCCCCCACTTATTTCTCACCCTGCTCATCCTGGCAGATGACATCACCAACTGCCTGGTCACTAAACAGACACCTGGGATTATTCTGGTATCCTCACTTCTTCATCTCATCTCCCACAACCAAGTGCTACATTATTATTTTAATGTCTCTAAAGTCTACCCCCTTTGCACTACCACGACGTAGCCATCCTTTTCCCTTGACTTCTGTTAACATCCCAGCCTGGGCATCTCCACTGCAGTTTGCAGGTGTTTTTTTGTTTGTTTGTTTGGGTTTTTTTTTTTGAGACAGAGCCTCAAGCTGTTGCCTTGGGTAGAGTGCTGTAGCATCACAGCTCACAGCAACCTCCAACTCCTGGACTCAAGCGAGTCTCCTGCCTCCGCCTCCCAAGTAGCTGGGACTACAGGCGCCCGCCAACAACACCCTGCTAATTTTTTGTTGCAATTTGACCGGGGCCGGGTTTGAAACTGCCACCCTTGGTATATGGGGCCGGCGCCCTACCCATTGAGCCACAGGAGCCGCCCTGACCTTCTCTTTTCGCCTTAAAATCTTTTGGTGGGCCCCTTGCTGCCCTGCTGGCCAAATGCCTGCTCCCTCAAGGGCCTCTGCGTACACGGACGACACTCTTTCTAAATTCATCTCTTCCATCACTCGGCCAGTAGGCTCCCAAGGCGCACTGCACCTGAGGACCTCCCTCGGCCCAGGACCCAGACCCCAGACCTTAGAACTCCTCTCGGAGGAAGTGTTTTCTGACTGTGCTTCCTCTTCTGTCCTCCTCCTTCATGCCTCAATTCACGCACAGTCACTACTGACACTGTTTGATGGCCTGTCACCCGCGTGCCTGGGGGCCCCTGAAAGAAGTACTGTAATTGCGAGGCGCCTGTGTGGCTCACTGCTGCGATAGGGAGAGAGGATGGCGAGGTCGCCCTTGGGAGGTAGAAAGGGAGCCAGGAGCCAGTCCTGGAAGCTAATGAGTGACTGTGGAGGATGTTCCGCTGCGTCAGCGAGGCCCGAACCCAGGGGCCGGCCGCGAAAGCGCAAAGCAGGGAGCTCCTGCTTTCCACCAAGGGGCGCTGAGCACTCTGTGGACCTGGCGGGGGTCACAGACCTGGGGCTTAGCGCGCTGCCCTCCCCAAGCGCTCTGCCCCGTGCGCATCTGCAGTTGGAGTGGAAGGTCCAGGAACGCGGGCAACATCCAGGACTTCCAACTCCTGGGTCCGCGGTCCGCTTGCGCAGACACGCTGCTCAGGCCGGGAGGGGCGGGACCTGGACGGGTCGAGGGGCGGAGTCAGATTCCGGCCCACCTCCCCCAGCTAAAGAAGAGCAGCCAAGGGCTCCGCACCCAGACTCTTCTGAGTGCTTCAGGTGAGCAGGGGCACAGAGGGGTCTGGGAGACCATTCTCGAGGTCTGGCCTTCGGTCCGACTGCGGGTCCATCTGACCTGCCGTCTGCCAACAGCCACCTCCGCAGAAAATGGGAGAACAAAGAGAGAGGGCGGTTCTGGGGCCCCTAAGGGAATCCAGGGTCCCAGGTACCCCGCCCCGCCCACTGACACTTTCGGTTTCTCCCGAGTCAGAGGCGCCGCCCAAGAGACCCTGGGCGGGCGCACGGCTGCTTCTCCGCGTTTTCCTTTCCGTCTTTGTGTCTGTCTCCGTGTCTGTCTGGCTGTCTCCGATCTTGCCTCCGCTTCCAGAACTAAGCCCCAACTCGGACATCCTGAAAACCCCAGCCCCTTTCTCATGGAAGGTAAGTGCGTGCAAGACCGGGGTCTCCTTCATACACCCCCCTCCCCCCAGCGGACTTGGTGTCGAACACATCCTCCGAGAATGGGCTCAGACTGGCTGGGTAGGGCCCCTCCCTTCCTCCTGGGAGCCTCCGCCCTGTGCCCCTGCCCGATCTTTCTCTGCCTCTTCCCGCCACATTTCCCCCACTGTCTCGAGGACCATGGGCTAAGGAATAAGGGGATGAGGGCGCAGATCTCGTTATAATCTACCCCTGCCCTTCCCCACAGGTTACTTGTCACCCAAAGGTTACGCCCCTTCTCCCCCACCTCCCTATCCTGTGACCACTGGATACCCGGATCCGGCCTTGCATCCTGGGCCTGGGCAGGCGCCGGCCCCTGCGCCTGGCTTCGCTCTCTTCCCCTCTTCCGTCCCCGTGGCCCCGGGGTCTGCTGCCCCCTTCTTGCCACTGCCAGGGGTACCTTCTGGCCTGGAATTCCTGGTGCAGGTGAGTGGGAAGAAGGAAGGGTGACAGTGAAAAGACCTGGGCGTGCAGGTGGACCAGCTGATGTCCATGCTTTGCCTCTTTCTTTAGATTGATCAGATCTTGATTCACCAGAAGGCTGAGCGAGTGGAAAGTACGTAGGAGGAGTAGGTTGGGCCTCAAGATGGTGACATGGATGGTGGGCACCTGTGGGCAGGCTGTGTCTAAGTCTCTGGGTAATCCTTGGCAGCGTTCTTAGGCTGGGAGACCTGTAATAGGTATGAACTACGTTCGGGGGCCGGGCAGCCCCTGGGTCAGGCAGCCGAGGAGAGCAACTGCTGCGCTCGTTTGTGCTGTGGTGCCCGCCGGCCCCTGCGTGTCCGCCTGGCAGACCCCAGTGACCGTGAGGTGCTGCGTTTACTCCGCCCACTCCACTGTGGTTGCAGCTGCTGTCCCTGTGGCCTCCAGGAGGTGGGTGGGAGGAATGGAGTTGGAGAGAGGTTCTGGTAGTGGGTGGGCCTTATAGGGTGGGACAATGATGGGGCAAGCCTGGATGAGGCATGGCTAAATGGGAATGGGCAGGTTGGGATGGGAAGTTGAGTGACAGGCCAAGAGTAGGTAGACTTGGGACCAGTGAGAGCTTAGGCTAGGGTACACTGGCTGGGCAGTAACCATGTCTGTTTCCTACTCCAGATGGAAGTACAAGCTCCACCAGGTACCACCATTGGCCATGTACTACAGACCTGGCATCCCTTCCTCCCCAAGTTCTCCATCCAAGATGCTGATCGCCAGACGGTCCTGCGAGTGGTGGGGCCCTGCTGGACCTGTGGCTGTGGCTCAGACACCAACTTTGAGGTATCAGGAATACAGGGAGATTCCTGGGACCTTCATAAGCAAGATGGCATTATCCATGAGGCAGAATGGCCAACAGTAAGGTCAAGACCCTGAGTTCATTAATCCAAATTCACCATAACTCCCACCACGTGTGCAATTTTCCTCTATTTGGAAATAGGATGGCTCTATGGTCTTATAATAGTATGGCAAAGAGGATTTCATCTTAAGGACCAAAGCTAATTTTTTGTTTGTTTGTTTGTTTGAGACAGTCTAACTTTGTCACCCTTCAGTAGAATGCCATGGCCTACCTCAGAGCAATCTCAAACTCTTGAACTCAACCGATTCTTTTGCCTCAGCCTCCCAAGTAACTGGAACTACAGGCACCCGCCACAATGCCCAGATATTTTTTAGAGACAGGGTCTCACTCTGGCTCAGGCTTGTCTCCAACTCCTGAGCTGAGGCAATCCACTACCTTGGCCTCCCAGAGTGTTGAGATTACAGGTGTGAACCACCATGCCCAGCTCCAATGCTGATTATTATATACAGCTCTGAGTTGGTGGTGGTGGTGAGGAACCTAAGGCCACATTGGATTTAGAGTGAAGGATGATTAAATCAGCTGTGGACTGGGCCCATGTGGCTGCTATACATGAGTTTGTGAGGCCAGGCCCTGGTGCAAGCACTAATTTAATGTATTAACATCCTGTGGCTTGCCTTGCCAACCTGGCAGTCCAAGTGACCCCTCCAACCTGAAATCCAGGTGATATTCTTCTCTGCATACCTTCATGTCACCTATCCAGAGTGGTGAGAACAAGTGTGAGAACTTCAGAGTGAGGCCTGGGAAGCACCTTGGTTTGTAGAAGACAAAGACATTCCACAGATCTTTGAGTTCTTTAAGGGATAATTCCCTATGCAGATATGGGAAAAATAGCAGGCATAATCCAGTAGATTTTCCAACAGTTCTGATGACTTTCCACCTCTAATGAGGTGCCCTACCTAAAGTTACTTTTAAAAAATGAGAGGCTCGGCACCTATAGCTCAACCGGCTAAGGCGCCAGCCACGTACACCTAAGGTGGCGGGTTCGAATCCCCAGCCCGG